GGAAGGTGGAAAAGTGAAGGCTTAGAGTGAAAAATCAGTGTCGTTCATTTTTCAAGCACCATCCAGTGCCATTCTCCTCGAAAATGACCACTGTAAGAATTTATATTCTGGTGGCCAATGGATGTTCTTTGTCAGTGACTCTGGGACATAGAGAGTGAGAGGAGAAAAACCAAGGTAAATGGAGGGACGGATTGTATATATGACAGTGACCTAAACAAACCTAGGGGATTAGGCAGAGGCTTTTATGTTAAAAACATCAGCATCAAGAGTTCTCTAACTCCCATTTCATCGTATTACCATACCTTTTCCTATAACACTCTGACTATATATTTTTGACAGGTTTTTGATGGAAGTGGATCATTTCTGTCCTACATTAACACATCTGCTGACCCACTCTATGGCCCCCAAGGCCTGGCCCTGACTTCGGATGGCCACGTTGTGGTTGCAGACTCTGGGAACCACTGTTTCAAGGTCTACCGGTACTTACAGTAACAACGGGCGGCTGGAAAGCCCCTTACAAAGGTCTTGCACTATAAACTGGAATAGATTTCTCGGCGCGGGACCAGATTACACCAGACTTTTCATGCTAGAAGGAATCATTGGCTAACTTTCCAAGGTTATTTCTGAATGTAATAATTTCCTTAAAAACTGCATATCTGATTTCTGTAACTGACCTTTAGGGTTTGAAAAAAGAGATCTCTTCTACCGAATCTATAGAAACTGCAAAGTTTTACACCTGTGAACTATGGCTTCTAGGACAGGGATTTATGTAGTTAAACTAATTTTGCAAATCAAACAAGCATTAAAAAGAACTAAAATATTTAAAGGTATTTGTTAATCCTGTGAATGGTAGCTTTTGCGCAGAGCTTCCAAAAACAAAACAAAACAACAAAAATAAAATCTGTTGTAGTTATATACTTTAACCTCAGTCATGAGACCTGGGGAAATCTTCTAACCTCACTTTTACAGTAGGTATTGTGACTTTTTTTGGTTATCAATAGCTACATATAAATTATTTTATGAAAGAAATAAGACTGTCTTGCAAAACCCTCTCATCTGTTATTAGCAGGCCTCTTGAGTTTAGCACTTAAATATAAATGCAAATTTCTCAACCTTTCTGGGTTAGATCGAAGGCCCTTTTCATGTGTTCTTTTCACTTTTCCCTCTCCTGCTCACTTTAAATAAAAAAACAAAGTACATTTTCAGGGAAACCTGAAGTTCCTAATGCTTTGAAAAGCATATTACAATAGTAATGCTACCTTTTGGTAAACAAACAGCCCAACTCCAGATCAATGCACTGGAATGCACTCAAAAAAAGCTCGTCATGTTTTATGTGCCATGTTCTCACATGTGTCTCTCCTCTTCCACTTCGTGAAAGCGAAAGCTTTACCTCCTGAAAAATGTCAGCACATGTAGTAGGACACCAGTATCCTAGGACAGAGAGCCATAAGTAGCCCTTTGGAGGACTGATGGTGTCAACCAAAGGCATGTGATTGAGTAACGGTTTTCCCCTTAGAAGCAAGTGTTACCAAAGTTGTGAAAGCATTACAGGTAAGGGCATGTTATGGTTATTTATCATTGTCTAATGAATAGTAGAGGCATTAAAGGACTATGTATACATGATTAGGGTATGGTAGAATGTATCGTATATATCTATATATATAGCCGAATCTTTGGTGTATCGAAATAGGCAGCACTCTGAAAGACAGAAGCATCGTCCAGGCTTTCTTCAGCACATTCCTTTCCTGCGGAATTTTAAAGCCGTCCTAGTAGAAGAAGCTCTGAAAGATTTGACTTTTACCACTTTCTGGGAATGATGGTATTGGCTGATGTCTCATCAGAAAATGGCCTTCTGTGCTTTCAAAAAAAATAAAAACAGGTCAAAAAAGAGAAGTCGAACTCGTTACATTTAATTTAAATAAATGAGTTTTGAGAAATGTTAAGAATAATTTAGTCAATTGTTAATCTGTCATTGGTACTGTAAAATGAGATGTGGTTTATTTCCACTGTTTAATTTTCTACTCGGTTCTACCAAATAGGATGTTGTGTTTGGCAGTTTTCGATAATGACTTTGGGATCTTTTTTTACTGAAAGCACCTTAGAACTGTACTATAAGAAAACATTTCCCGTATGTATAATTATATGAATGTGATGTTTATGGCTTATTAACTTATAATTCAGTTACTCACCTATATAGGAATGTTTGAAATTTAGAAGGGAAATCTATCTACTTCCAGTTGTCTAGCAAATTCATGCCCAAATCAAGCTCTGAAAAAAATTTTTTTCAGAAAGATTTCCATTTAGGTTTAGTATTTTTTTAGTTAGGCAGAGTTTTCAAAATATTTGAGACTTGTCTGCAATAGTTATAAAATTCAATAACATTTTTAGAATGTTAAGATACTATTTCTTAGTATCAGTGAAATAAGTCTTTGAATTTAAACCTTCATATGTAATGAGTGCCTGCTAGGAGCCAGATGCTATTCAGGATACTGGAGATAGAGTGATGGAAAAAAGACAAAATTCCTTCTGCCTTGGAGCTTACACTCTAGGGAGGGAATTTCATTTTGCTGTTTACTAACATTCTGCATAAAACACAAGCTAGACTTTTCATAGCTCCTAGACCATTTAAAAGAAAACTTCTTAAATTGATGAAATTAATTTTAGTTTATTTTCACAAATAAAAATGGCTTCCTATACAGATTCTGCCACAGGCTATTGATCTTAAGGCTAATTTACTTAAAGGGTGTTTTCTTTTTCTTTTTTTTTTTATCACAACATTTAAATTATATATGCCAAGTTAGAAATTAACTAGCCATCATACCGTAGCAGGCCGGATATCTCAATTAGTAGATTGAAGACAAAGCTAATTTTTTTCATGTCAATATTGGCACAAACTGGAATGAAAGAATAGATATTTTGAGTCAGACCTCTTCTGTTACTAAAACATGCTATGGACACTCCAGGAAACACTATATTTTCCCCCCAAAATATGTAATCATATTTTAAAAGATGAATAACATTTCACATTTGGATACATATGTGCATTTACTGTATTTCTTGGTGAGCATGTTTTAGGGGGAAAAGTGCTGCTAAGATATGAATAGACAAGATTTAAGTGAAATTTTGTCACATTCTATGGAAAATAGTTTCTGGTAAACTGAAAAGGATGTTAAAATAAGTGACTTTTTTTCTGGGCTACCATTATTGTTTAACGATTTCTCTTTGTCAAGTGTACAGAACCTGTCATACATTCATGATAAGTAGCTCTGAAAAATTACCCATTCGAATTTCCCCTGGGCACTTACGGTAAAATATTGCCATTTAGAATGTGAAGGTCAGTGACAATGTATTCCCCTCCCCTCTCCCACTTACAGACCTCCCCTGCTGGACATGGGGTGGTAAAGAGTCGCTTGACCATTCAGAAACACATGAATAAAAAGCCTTTATGACTATTTGCCATTTTTTAAATAGTACTTAATATTTCAATCAAATTTTAGTCTCCAGTAACTAAACAAGTCCCCAAATCTCCTTATTTTAATCTTTTCTTTGACTAGATTTGAGGCAAATAAATACTACAGGTCCATGAAACGAGAACACACTTGCTTCTACTACGAAATATACAGGGTATGTCCTAACATGGAGTTAACTGGAATAGCAGTATACCAGCAAGTGTCTGGATCCTTAATATTAAAGGGTTCTCATAAATGCTTTGATAATACCTACTGAGTTAATTGGAGGAAATAGCAAATAAACATCAGGTAATCAGCAGATTACCTTAAATGAGAAAATCTTTTTGTATTTTTGGACTCTATAGTATCCTCTCTATTGACCAGCTTCGGAAAAGAGAGGAGTATTTTTAGTTTAATAATTTTAAAGAAGACATTTTCAGCTAGGATGAAATTAAAGCTGTTTGCTGCAAACATTATTCTAATTTTGCTTAAAACTGAAAGTTGTAATACTGTTGCATTCTGTAAACGTTGCAGGGTTTTAAATTTAACAGTTATTTTAATATTTTTGATAACTAGGAATCTAGTATTGCCATAAAGGAACTAAGTGCCCATTAAAGATTTGTTTGGTATAAATAAATAATTTTTTGGTTTGTTTTAAATGACAGTAAGCTACAAATCATGATGTTAATCTTAAACTTTCTGAAGATGAATCGTGTGGTGGTGATTGTGTGGTTGGTTTGTGGAGAATGTATGAAAGCTATTAATATTCTAAAATCGATTAATAAATTGGCTATGTTGTTCCAATGAATGTACAGCACTTCCATTAACCTTTGAAAGCAACACAGCCTTAAACTCAATGCTTTTGCTTTATGACATGGAATGTTCTGTCATCAACGAGAGTGTATTCTTGTAATAGAATTCTTTATATCATTCTCAATTCTATAGCCTTTTGATCTTATGTATGAGTATGATGGTTCCTTGCTTTTTTCTTTTAAAATTTTGTACATTCCATCTTTATAGGTCTGTTTCATACGTTTCTGTATAGAACACTAAATCTTGCGCTCTCTGATGTTAATGATATAGTCTCATCATCTGTTCTTTTATGAATCAAAATGCTGACTGCCTATTTAAAGAAAAGAATAAATGCTGTGCATCAAAGTGTTTGTACGTTCGTAGCTACATACGTACCACAGTATTTTGGATGCTTTAGTCTACAATAAAACTTTAAATTCTGTCTTGAAACATAGGAGAAACAAGAGTCATGTGTATCTACCATGCACAAAATCTCAAATCATTATAATAAAGCTTGTTTTCTCCGTTTCCAGGGTGAATGTTTATTTATTTAACATAACCATTTTTAGGTGAAGGGAAATAAAGGAATGTTTTAGAATTTGTGGAAGAGGACAATACCTCAATCAGTTTATTTTATTGAAAAGGCCCTATCTCACTCTGTCTCGCCTCTCGGCGGAGCCGCCAGGGGTCGCTGCGAGCCGCCGGGACGAAGGTCGGTCTGTCTACCACCTCTTTCACCTTCGCTGCTCCGCCCCCGGGGCGGGGTCGGCGCCAAAATCAAACTCTCCTTGGCGCGCCCCGCCCCTCGCGTCCTGCGCAGGCCTCGCCACCGGAAGACGCGCCGCCCGCGCCATGGTAAGAAATGAGACCACACTCCCGGGTCCCTTTCCTCCCCAGGGTCCGAGCCGCAGGGACCCCGCCGTTGGTGGGCTCCGGGGATTGGTGTCCGACCCGGGGCCTCACACGGACGGGCAGCCAGATGGACGCCCTGGCCACCCCGTACCTTCCGAACGCGGCGGGGCTGAGCGCGCGCCTGTCTCCTGCGGACGGGGCTGGGAGGCTGTAGCG